TAGCGAATTTATTCATCGATATACGGTGCACAAACGACTTGGAGGAGGAAGTTTTGGAAACGTTTATTTGGTAACAGCTAAAGCTAATAATCAGCAGTATGCATTAAAGGTTAGCTTTCAACTGCTAATTATTTGGCATGTAGAAGTCATTTGATTTTAATCGATTTCAAAGGGAAGTTTTATAAATAGAAATGTTTGAAACGGTACATATGCCCAAAAAATATTGAAAAAGGTTTCAGTCACTGGCCTTTCAGAACTGTGACACGGTGCTCCTTTATTAGCGTGACAAAACAATACAGTAACCCCTGTACAATGATGATCTATGTACTGTACATTGTTCTACGGCCAGTTCTTATATGTACATTTCCGCGGGTACTTTAATTGAAGGACGCAACACCGAATCATCATAATTGACTATCATATTTAGCATTTCTACTGTACGATGCATGACTCTATCTTACGTGACGTTTTAATCGCTGTGCTGTCGTCGTTTAAGTGGTATGTACCTGGATCTTTAGTCGATTATGTATGGTACGTGATTATATTGGCGCCTATAGTTTGACAGATAATTATAGAAAGGAGAATTGCAAGGTGACGGTGTCAAAAGTCCCTCATAATAGACAGAAAACTGTTGTACTCGAAGTTAAAGCGACTTGAGTCAGGTCAGCATCTCATGAATGCACACCATGCACTGGATCTTTCTAGTGTCAGAACACTCACACAGAATTCGGATAAGATTTACAAATCTGTGAAGTCCTCCAGTGCCTTAACTACAACGAAAATAATAACTTCGAGGCGTAATGTTGCACAAAATTGACAGGTTCGTAGACATATGAATTAAAGAACAGAATCAGTGACACACGCTTATGATCCAATCAGTCATGATGCAAATGACAAAACTCATATGTTCATATCATCAAGAACAAGTGGAAGCATCAAGAGTTGAAACGGTCAATAAGTATTTCACTCGTTCCGCCGATTGAGGACAAGTTTTCACGTCATTTCCGTCGTTGCATCCGATTGCCTCCAGGAGTGGCACTATTTTTTGTCGTTTACGTGCTTCAGATCGTTTGAATGAGTGCTTTCAGTTGCACTCGCTGGGTTCCTAGCCGACCATGTTACCGGTTTGAACCATGCGAAATACACAGTTCAGATTAGCAACGACGGACCTCAGTGACTGCGTGTGCAATATAGAAAAAGAGGTCCGGATGCAAGTCAACCCGACGAAAACAAAGGTTATGAAAGGTGAGAGGACAAGCTGCTACGGACGCCGCTGAGATTAAGTAAAGTGGCTGGACTCTGGAAGAGGTCGAGCACTTCAGATGTTTTCATGATGTCATAGTCGTCTGGGATATCAGTGTCAAGAATCGAGTACCCACATTAATGGCGTCTAACGCTTTGGCCTCTCAGACTGATTTAGGCGATGTTGGTTGCTGCGGCAAAGGTCACATTCCTCGCTTTAGAGTACGAAGTTGGCCCTCGACGCGTCTGCCGTCATTTCTTCAGTTTTTGGAGCAGGATTGGCGCGAATACCTTTTCTAGCACATGCTGAAGAGTGATACTCCTGCAGTTAGCACAGTCACAACGATTCCCACGTTTGAATATTGGAACGATTATGTCATCAGATTCTCAGATATTTTCGACTTCCGCCAGACACTGCCATAAGCCAGATGGATCTAGTTCAGTAGGGTGTCGCCTGGGCACTTGAGAGTATCTGCACTAATCATGCCGCGCCC